ACTGAAATATCTGTTATTGTAATTTGAAAATAAAATGAACTATGTTATTTTATAAATCCTCAATCTTTTAATTTGTGGATTTATTCTTTATATTGAATATTTCTGAGTATCTCTTTATCAAAACCAGCAACTTCAATGACTAATTATTTATATGTATTTAAATTTAAAGTCGATTCACTCTAAATATCTTATGATTAGTTATTTCATCTATTATAATAATCTCTCCTACAACTTGAGTGGAAAAAATTGGTTGGTAGGTGCAAATTGCTGCAACGCTTATATGGTTGAAAAGTAAAGAAAGCTTCCATTCAAAAACAGAAAAAGGGGAAAAAAAAAAAAGGTCATTTCAAAAGTTCTTTTTCCCCCCTTGAATACATGAGAGCTGCGCTGAATACGTCCTTAGCCCAAACTAGGCGACCTAGTCAAAATTCATTCATTTTATTTTATTTTTGAGATTGATACTTGTGCTTATAATTGTGTTTGTCAGGGAAATAATTAAACTTTTTCCAGACCAGTCCCAACACTTTTATTCATTGCCCTTACATGTTCATTTGATAACGGTCAACCGTCAACATTATCTTTGTTTGGCCCAATACACGTTTTATTAGTGAAGGCAGCAACACGTATCAGAGATCACACATGTTGCACAAATTTTAAAAGGGATGTCCATAATAGTGCGTATAATTTTTCTCACAGTACTTTACATAAACTAAAAAAATTAATTTATTAAAAATTATTCATCTTTTCACAAATTGCCATTAATTAAATACTATTGTCTCTCTCACATTTTTTTCTCTTAATTAGTTAAAAAATTTATGGCAAAATAAATTAATTAAAAGGCATCATTTTTAAAATGCATTTTAAAAAGCATATTAATTAATTTTTAAATTGTATAAATTATCTTATAAGTAAAGACACCCAACTCTTGGCCATCTACTATCTATTTTATCTTAGAAAAGTAGAAAGTACATTAGATGTTTTAAGAATTAAAGCTGCATACACACGCGCATACGCGCATTTTGCAATGAACCAATGATAAATTTCCAAATTTACGACCTGTAAATAATAATTTTTTTTATAAATATTATAGTATATTATGATTTTTTGAGTTTATTTATAAAAATAAATGGTAATAAAATTTTATCTATCGTTTATCTCTTATAAACATGCTCGGGATTGTATATTTTTATCTATCATTTTTTTAACTCGATTTATTTATCTCTTTCCAATCGCTCATATATTTGGTTTATTTATGAATATAATTGGCCAAATTCAAAATTCAAAATTAATATTCTTCTACTTCTAATTTCTTTGATCTTTATCCATTCAATTATTTTAGACATTCAGTGATGCTTTAACCATAAACAATTGGGAAGATAATAGTGCTTTCTTTGACCAAGTCGCAAGCTCTTTGTGAATATAAAGTTGTCTTGTTCTTTTTGTTTAATTTGCATTTTCGTTTCCACGTATGAATACTGTTTGCGTAGGACAGCAACAACGATAGGTCAGCCGAGCAATTTGGGTTTGACCGTTAACGAGGGTTGACTCTCAACTTGTCATTTTTTTATTTTCGTCTTGCTTTTTGTCGGTGATAGGGCTCTCGATAAAGAAGGAAATTATCTTTAAAGGCCACAACACTACAATCATTCAATTTGTAATACTTTTTTTTAAAAAAAATAAAAATTTACCCCCAACCTGACCCTTAGTAAAACTCACACGCTCATCTATACACACAAACATGTCAATGTTAAATTTAAACACTAGATTTATTTCAAGAAAAGTTGTGATGTGAGGAGGACAACTAGTTGTAGGCATGAAATTTATACTCTCTTTAGTCTAAAATATGAGTTTCCCTTAACAATAATTTACATATTAATAAAATAATTATTCTCATGAAAATATAAGTTATTTTGCTTCTTTGAATTTTGGTTTCAATTTATAATAATTGAGAAGAAATTCATAAATACAAAAATTCAAATTAATAAATATAAGGGATAAAATAGAATTCTTTTTTACAAATACTAAAATACTTATATTTTATATCAATATTAGTTAGGAGAAAATACTTATATTTCAAACATGATGGAATAATATTTAGATCATTGTAGGTCACAAATATGAAATGCTACACAGCTTTAACAAGTTATGATAATTATGTTATGCATGTAATGTGGCTTACACTTTAAACAAGGCACAATATAAGCCTCGCATTAATGCTCTGTGACCAAGATGTCCATATAAAATGATATAATAAACAGTTTAAAATTTGATGTCGATGATCATACAGTTTATAATATTTTAAGAAGTTTCTTATACTTTTCTTAATTATATTTTAACGCCTGTCTTAATTTTTTTATATATTAAATTTATACCATAAATTTAGATTTTTTGGGCTATAATATACTAATTCACCTATACATTTTTTTAATTAGATGCACATGATATTTCTAATCAGGTAACTTGCTTCATGCGCAAGAATTAAATATTAAACATTGATATTTGCATATGAAGTGCTAATCCATGTTATTTACGCCAACATTGCATTGGTGTTTTGTATATAAAGTCTAAACAAAATTGTGAAGTAATAAGATATGTCTAAAACCTAATCATAATAAAGGTTATTTCTTTATTTTTTGTAATTTCAATAATTCTTAAAAGGAATATTTTGATAACAATAGTTTAATCCGTTTTTTGTCCATTTATAAAAAAAAAAAATCAAATGTCAACAGTCTTTTAATTTAATGACACCCCCTACGCTTCTTGAAAGAGAGAGTTTATGTTTCTAATCCCAACACACGTAATACTATGAAGGTTTGTGTCGCCCTTCTTACGATAAAGGATTGTTATCAAAAAAAGGACTGGGATAGGTGTATTTGATTCATAAAAAAAAAAAAATTAATCTCAACCTTTTGAATAATCAAGATTTTGAAGTCGACACCTTTAAATTTAAATTTTGCTAAGTTAAAGCCCTGAAGGTAATATTTTTCCATTTTATACGAACAAATTAAATCAGGCATATCAAAATCTTAGTTATTGTTTTGGATACGAAAAGCTTGCCATTGTTTGACCAGAAACTTCAATGGTCGCACCTGTTGTTGGATTTTGAAATTAATAAGAGCTCAAGCTTTCATCAACCCCTGCTCACAAGAGCGACACAAGCCCCCCCCCCCAAAAAAAGTCAACAAAAGGAAGATAAAATTTATAATATTTAACATTGATTGAATTACGTGTGGATAAAAAAAGAAGAAGAAGAAAAGACTTAATTAATGAATTACATCTCGTGCAATTTGACACTTTATTTTGAGATAAAAAAAGAATTGCTTTTGTGAACTTTCCAGCTGATTAACATTTTTGTTTTCTTGGTAAAAGATTGTCAATTTCGGAAGAGAGAGGACGATGATGTCTTTTTTGTATAGATTTACCACAGAATCAGATGCATGAACGGGGTGTTTTCCATTAATTGCCATTGTAATTTTTGTTTTTTTTTTCCTTGGCCGGAAACTCTTTTTGTTTTTCTAATTACTAAAACAAGTAAAAATACCCCGCATAATGAACAAGGCAAATAATAGCAACACACTTGCACCCGTGTCCTCACATTCATGAATTGCAGGTTCTTTGGGCAGAAAATTCATGAATTACAGTACTCATATTTATTGTGAAAGGAGTAAATATGTTAACTTCCTGACTATTTTTACACTTAACTTACATGGGTAGTACCATTTATGTCAACCACATGAAAATTTGACTTTGATTTTGAAAGATGATGTTTTAGGCTTGGGCAATATCGAGCCCTTTCTCTCACACAAACACATTCTAAATTGATTATATTGAGATGTGTCGGGGGATTCTCACTCTAATCCATCGTATGGCTTGGAGGGGATGAAAGGAATTTTGCTCCACTTCTCTTATTTGAATATTAAAAATTAAAAAAAAGAAAAAAAAACTTTTTTTTAAAAAATATATTTTCCTCCTTTCCCCTCCAAAAGAGGGGCTATGGAGGGAAGGATATAATTTTGTTATATTATGATCAATTTATTTATACTATATTTTCATAATCAAAAAATGCTCCTCCCCAAATAAAACTGACATGGCTTCTCTTCTCTACACCTCCCCTCCTCTGCACTCTCAAGAAAATTTGGATCGTTTATATTAAAATTTAATATTTGATTTTATTATATGAAAATACAAAAATTTAAAAATATAATCATCATAATCTAGACAATTCACTTTTAACATGAATGGTTTAAATTTAATATTAAAAAGTTTATAATTTTTATTAATTAACTATCCATATATATTATAGAGTATAGGTAAAGTTGTTCAAAATTTTTAATTTGTAATTTTTAAATATTTTTTTAAAAGTATGTGTTAGAAGACTATTTTTTTTTTGGGTAATCTATTGAAAGATTATCTTTATTTTTAATATTTCATTGCTAAAAAATATATTTGTATAAAAATTTTTAACATTGCATGTTGTAACTGCCAAGTTCTAATTGCACCCATTTCATTATATATATTCAATACCGTAGCTTATTTTTAAAAGATGAATGAACTTTTTATCTTTATTTTTTTTGTAAATTCACATGTATACTTTATTAAATATTTATAAAAAAATAAGGAAAAATGATTTTAATAAAATAAGGATATAGCTGTCTATATATACTTATTTTTTTCCCCTTCTCTTTCAAACCAACAAGGTTGTTTCCCTCCCCTTCCTTTGAACAAACATGGTGTAGTGTTATTTTAATGTTTCTAATAGAATAATTTAATTTGGCACGCTTTCTACTAAAAGTAAAAAAAGGAATGGGGTGCAGTTAAAAATTAAAAATTTATAATCTTTTGCTGCCCACTCAAACTTTTTTTTTTATTTGCAATCTAATGGATGTAATTTTACTAACGATTTTACAAATGCTTCACTTATAAATCTCTCCTTATGTTCTGCGCCGAAGCTTCCTGAAGACCACTGGGACCGTACCATAGCCATTGAATATAAAGTAACCTAGCCAACTCGTGCGCGGTGCGCCCACACAATGCCCAGTAATCGCTAATCAGCACTGCAAGAAAATAGCAGAGAGAAAAGCTCGTGTATCTATCTATATGTATGTAGAGAGAGAGAGAGAGAAAATTAAAAAAGAAGTGGGAATAGGATCAATAGCAGTGTTGTGGGCTTAGCTGGACTAGGCGGGATAGCCGGAGGTCAAACCCACCATAGAACCCAACCGGAGGGCGCCGGATTCACTGTCACACTCTGCTGCTCTGCCATTTCTGCTTCTTCTTATGATTTACAAAGTATGGTATAGGATTTTCAACTTCTCACCGCTTCAAGTTTTTTTCATTTTCTTTTCTTTTCTTTTTCTTTTTTCTTGTGTGTTGGAGCGTCTTCTGGGCGTGGCTGGTTGTTAGAGGGATTTGAGAAGAAGTAGAAGCGAGCTGCTTGCAAGTGATAGTTCGTTGATAATCCATAGTTTTCACATTTAACTTTTCTCTCTTTAATTGTAATTTTCATTTCAACTATAGTGTTGTCTCAATTTTCTCTAAATTTGAAATTTCCCTTTTCCCTCTGTCTTCCGTCAACTAAAGGAAACAGAAATACTGGAGGATTTAGGAAGAGAAAGAGAAAAGAGACGGAGCTCAGAAAGCGATACCCATTTCTTTTTAATCGGAGGTTTAAAGAATCAAAGCTTCTGTTTGAGGTAAGAGTGGTTTATTTTTTTTTTTAATGGGTTTTTCCTCGCTAGAATGAAATGTTAAAGCAAGTCTTTTTTAGAGGGAGATAGACGTGTTCTTTTGCATTGAATATCTCTAATTGTGATTATTACAGAAATATATATACATTACTGCATAGATATTTGAGAGGAAGATGGGAATGCTCGGATCTTCGGGTCAGCACTCATAAGAGACATGGTGGATCGGCGAAGCCTAGTGTCTCTAGCTTTCTTGTTCTCGTTGCTGTTTCAGCTCACATTTGAACAGATTGAGCCTCTGAGCTCACGCGTGGAGCGAGCTGCTCTCTTTGACCTCAGATCGTCTCTGGGCTTGAGGAGCAAGGAATGGCCGAGAAACGTCGACCCTTGCTCTCTCTGGAAGGGTGTCACGTGCGAGAATGGTCGAGTCATTGGGATCAATATTTCTGGTTTTAGAAGAACCCGTCTGGGGAAGCTAAGCCCACAATTTTCGGTCCAAGGCTTAGCCAATTTGACTCTATTGCAATCTTTCAATGCCTCCAATTTTCTGCTTCCCGGTCGTATTCCTGACTGGTTTGGCTTCCAGCTCTCATCTCTGAAAGTGCTTGATCTTCGGTCTTGCTCTGTGAATGGTGCTATTCCTCCCAGTCTAGGGAATTTAACCAACCTTACTAGTCTGTATTTATCTGATAATAATCTTACTGGGATTATCCCCAATAGTCTGGGTCAACTGCTAAGGCTTTCAGTTCTTAACTTTTCACGAAATTCTATTACTGGAACCATTCCGGCATCGTTTGTCTCTCTTGGGAATCTCTCCTCTATTGACATTTCCGCCAATTCTTTGTCTGGCTCGATTCCTCCTGACATTGGGGCCCTCACAAGGTTACAATACTTGAATTTTTCCAGTAACATGTTAATGTCTTATATACCATCCCAGCTTGGAAATTTAAGTAGCTTGGTTGACCTTGATCTTAGTTTTAATTCTTTGACTGGTGGGGTGCCTCCAGAATTAAGGGGACTGAGGAGCTTGCAGAGAATGATACTAAGGAACAACATGCTTGATGGACCTTTGTCGGAGAACTTGCTTCCTACTCTGTCACAGCTGCAGGTTGTTGTTCTGAGACAAAACAATTTTACTGGTGATTTGCCTGATGTGCTGTGGTCTCTTCCGAGGTTGAGCTATCTCGATCTCTCTGATAACAATTTCACCGGTATCCTTCCAAATTCTAGTTCCAATCACAGTGTGACTGCTGAGATGCTTAATATTTCTAATAACATGTTTTATGGAAACCTAAGTCGTATTATCCGAAGGTTCAATGTCATTGATCTGTCAAGCAATTATTTTGAGGGAAAGATTCTAGATTCCATGCTTAATGTATCTCTGAATACCAACTGCCTCCAAAATGTTTCAAATCAGAGGACAACTGGAGAATGTCAGTCGTTTTATGCTGAGAGGGGCCTCGCTTTTGATAATTTTGGACGTCCAAATTCAACAGGACCTCCTGCGACAGGAAGCTCACGGAAGAGCAATAGAGATAAGATTATACTGGCTGGAGTCTTGGGTGGAGTTGGCTTGCTTTTTATTTTGTTGTTGCTATTGGTCTTGTTCCTTCTTTGTACTCGTAAGAGGCGTAATTCAAATCAAAGAGGAAATGGTGTGGGCCCTGCTCCTGTTGGGAGCAGTCCTCCACCTCCTGGTATGTCAATCAATTTCATAAATGTGGGAGATTCATTTACAATGCAACAGCTGCTTCAGGCTACAGGTGATTTCAGTGATGCAAATCTTATCAAACATGGCCACAGTGGGGATCTGTTCAATGGTGTTTTGGAAAGCGGTGTACCTGTAGTCATTAAAAGGATTGATGTGCGTACAACTAAAAAAGATTCTTACCTTGTGGAATTGGACTTTTTCAGTAAGATTTCTCAGACAAGATTTGTTCCTCTGCTGGGTCATTGCTTAGAAAATGAGAATGAGAAGTTCCTTGTTTATAAGCATATGCCAAATGGGGACTTGTCAAATAGTCTGTATTACAGAAATTCTACATCAGAAGATGGTACTTTGCAGTCATTGGACTGGATAACAAGGTTGAAAATTGCTATTGGAGCAGCGGAGGCCCTATCTTATCTGCATAATGAGTGTAATCCGCCTTTTGTTCATAGGTATTTTTGACCTGCCTCTTGCTCGATTCTGAAACATTTCTTCTTTTCAAATTCTTTTCCAACACGATTGTTTTCCCCCTGTTCTATTTACCGTTTGCTTTGACAACATATTAAGTCAAAAGCTCTGATACGCTGACAGATTGGCCCATACCTTTTTGTGATTCCTTGTTTGCGTTGCTAGTTTGCTGAGTTAATTCTCAATTCTGACTCTGGTTTATCCGCTGCTCCCTGTTTTGAAGGCAGCTATTTGAAGAATTGAAACCTTTCGATTAAATAATTTAGGAAACATGATAACTATATATATATATATATATATAAAGAGCAAAAGGAGTGCTCCCCTCTAAAAGTGGACATGTACTGTTCCTCTGTTTGGAATGCTTTTATATGTTACAGCATATGGTAAAATCCTTGTTTGCTAATTTCCGTCATGACTCCATAACCAAAACTTTCAAAAGCTGCAGTTGTTAGGAGGAGGGATTAAATGATTTCAGTCTCTGACACACTGTTTTATGTGAAAGCCCTTTGATCTTGAAATGTGGACAAAATATTGACCCACGATACTTCATGCTTCAAAATTTAATTATGAATTATGGTGGTGGCAGGGATTGAATCTTGACTTTTTATATCCAACCTTGTTGGGATGTTGTTAAAGAATAGAAAAAATGAAGTTACTGGTAGGTGGGCATTTTTTGGTCATATCACAAATTGACAAACCGTTATTTGCGACCGTAAGGTGCCTAATAAACTTAAAGGAAAGTTTTATCGCACTGCTATCAGACCGGCAATGTTATATAGTAGTGAATGCTGAGCTCTAACGGGACCGCAAGAGCATAAAATTGGAGTAGCAGAGATGAGAATGTTACGATGGATGTGCGGACATACACGTAAAGATAAAATTCAAAATGAGCACATACGCGAAAAAGTGAGGGTGACACCTATTGAGGAAAAAATGGTAGAAAATCGGTTGAGATGGTTTGAGCATGTACAAAGAAGACCAAGGGAGGCACCAGTGAGAGGAGTGAAAAATATAACTTTGAGTCCGATTAAGAGAGGTAGAGGAAGGCCTAAGAGAACACTCTTGGAAGTTATTGAACGCGATCTCTTAATTAATAATATTTCTAAAAGCTTGATAAATGATAGAGCATAATGGCGTCTTGCAATCCATGTAGCTGACCCCACTCAGTGGGATAAAGGCTTGTTGTTGTTGTATCACAAATTGACAAACCCCCCCCCCCCAAAACGACACTGTTGTGTCTCTGACTGATTATTACCAAATCTTCTAGGTTCTGTAGTGAAAATGTTGCCTTTAATTTTAAATGATTGGACCAAGTGAGAGGGAATTGGAAACAAGTTCAAAGTGGGTACATTCTCTGTAATGTCAAGTGTGTTTTTTTCCAGTTATCAAAGACCCTGCTAGGCATGACTTATTCACACATTTACATATTAAAATATAAGCTGAAAGGTCTGCTGGCAGTGACAGGTCTATCCTTTTGTTGTTGCAGAGATATTCAAGCAAGCAGTATTTTTTTAGATGATAAATATGAAGTTCGGTTAGGTAGTCTAAGTGAAGTTTGCACCCAAGAAGGGGATAGTCATCAAAGCAAAATCACTAGGCTGCTAAGGTTGCCCCAGTAAGTACTTCTCGTTTTATTCAATGAATCTCATGAACATTATGTCTGACTAATATCAATTTAAAATCTTTCATTATGCACTGTACTTCCTTTGCTTTATATAATAGCCATTTTGGCTTTTTACTTGGAAATAACGGTGCACCTAATTGAAGTCATTTTCCACTTTTGATATTATTTAGAATGTCATCGTGTTTTTTGAATTTTCTGTTCATGGATGTTGCTAAATTTTGGTTGGAAGTGATGGATTCATTACCTTTTTCTGAATTACTTTTTTACTGTATGCTATGGATAACTTATTTGATTCCCATAGGTAGGTTTATCTCTGGTCATTTTAACTACCTTAATGTGTTCATTATATGGTTTCCTTGACATTTTTCGCTTAAACTTTGAACCATCTATATGGGGTGAAGTTCCTTGGTTAGGGACATGAGAAGGTGAATCCATCAAAACCTCCAAGATCTATGCAAATTGTCAGTTAACCCTAAAACTTGTGCAAAGTGCTATTTGTGTTCCGTCTTGCCCTGGTAAATAAATTAGAGTATGGACATTGCTGTGATGCAGTTGGAATAACGTCTTCCCACCTAATAGTAGTTGACTCTAGTTGGTTTTATATATTTTGTCTTCTTTCTCATTTTCCTCCTGTAATTTTTTTTTTTCCTGGTTCGGTTGCATTTGTTTTTGACAAGTTTCATTACCATATTTGCAGTTGCTTACTAGTTTTCGTTTTGTCTTGGTAAATTCAGTTATCTCATTTGCCATTTTAATTTGCAGGTCCTCTGATCCAGGAACATCTGGTAAGCAGAAATTCACAAGTTTATTTGCCAATGTAGATTCATAATCAATTCTATGCCTTGATTGGATGCCTGTTGTATACTTGAGTAGAATTTGCATATATTAATTCACTTTGCTCCATTTTAACTGTCCTATGTAATTCTCATTTTACTTCTGACTTGAGTAAACGTCTATATTGTTGTGCTTAACTGTCCTATCTTTAATTCACACTGTTCCACTTAAAAGACATCAGGTTTTGCTTTTGAAGTCAGCAATGAAACGAGCAAACTACTTGATGTAGCAGATAAATCATCCATTTAAGAATTACTCAAGGGTTGTAAACTGTCATCTACAGATTGATGTATAATGGTTCTTTTTGTGGAATGTGGAGTGGAATGTCTGGTGGGATTGAAGTACTAAATATGCAGTAATATTTAGCATGTGATGTTGGTCGTCTTGTATTTATGGAAAGTTTTTTCATATTGTTGGGCCTAAACTTATTGAGGCAGATAATTGACCCCCTTCCTTAAAATTTTAAAAAAATCCTCCTTGATCTAGTGATTTATTTCTCCAGAGGTCTAAATTCTGACGTTCAGCCAACTGGGGAAATAAATAAGTGGTGAAATTTTTTACATTTTTTTAACGAATGCCAAAGGAGCTATAAATTTACTATTTTACACCATGTGAAATTTGGTGCTATTGCTCCTTCACTGACAGACAACATTTTTCAATCTATTATTTGTCACAAAAGTTGTGTTTAATGTGGAAACAGGTTCATCTACATCAATTTGTGCCCATGATGTTTATTGCTTTGGTAAAATATTGCTTGAGTTGGTGACGGGGAAGATGGGAATCAGTGCATCCGGCGATGCTGAATTTAAGGAATGGTTGGAACAGATGCTACCATACATTAGTATTTATGACAAGGAGCTTGTAGCGAAAATCGTGGATCCATCTCTGGTTGTAGATGAGGATTTCTTAGAGGAAGTGTGGGCTGTTGCCATTGTTGCGAGATCTTGTCTAAATCCCAAACCTTCAAGACGACCACCAATGCGATATGTTCTCAGGGCTTTAGAAAACCCCTTTAAAGTTGTGAGGGAAGAAAGTGCCGGTTCTTCTCGGCTCAGAGCAACCTCTTCTAGAGGCTCTTGGAATGCTGCTTTGTTTGGTAGTTGGCGCCAGAGTTCATCTGATGTAACAGCAATCCCGGCAGTTTCTACAAAAGTAGAAGGAGGGAGTAGTTTAAAGCATTCTGGGACTACCGGCTCGCAGGGTAGTGGCCACAATGGTGGCGGTTCATCATCCCGGAGGCGACATTCAAATGAAATATTCCCAGTGCCATCTAACATGCAGGATATAGAGAGGCCAGAGCAGGAATAACAGAAGGGTCAAAAGACTAGTGATTGAGCAGGGTGTCCAGTCTGGTTTGCTGCTCCAATGATGCTTGTCTGCCATCTCATTCTTTTTCAGAATTGCCACATGTTGTACATTTCTGCGGACAAAGTGAGGTTCAAATTACTTGGAACTTGATGTCTTTTAAGGTGGGGGTTGTCTTTCTTTTCAGTGGTTCATGTGGGAAAGGTAGGGAGAGCAAGAAGGCCTGGTGCAGTTGGATACTCTCTGACTGCTTATTTTGGGTAGAAAAATGGCCACAAATTTTTTCGCCTTGTAATTGATTCTTTCTTTTTTCTTTTTTAAAGTTTCTTACTTTGTACTCCATTCCTCTAATGGAGTGTAAATTTGAATGATCAGATTTCTTCATTCAAATCAGATTTGTCATTGTGGGAGGGAAGAAAAGAAGGAAAGAATGATGAGAAATGAGAAAGGAAATAACTTATACTGATTCTTTTGGCCCCGTATCCATTAGTTGCCAAAATGTTATCCAGAGCAGTGACTAACCATTTATTTCAGATCTCTCTGCTTATTCAAGTTTTGGCCTGTGGCTGATAACTGGACTTCCACACAATTAGAATGTTTGTGTTTGTGTTAACATATGCCTATATGGCTATAAAGATGTTGATTAAAGTTAAAGAGTAACGAAAGAATACGCTGCCATTTAGTGCACTGACTCCTGATAATATCAGGGGGTGGAATGTTCCGACAATTTGAAAGTGAAAAATGAGCTTATAAAGGTCCCACCGAGATTTGAACTCGGGTTACTGGATTCAGAGCCCAATGTCCTGACCACTAGACCATGGGACCTTTAATTGAATCGGATCAAGCATATACTGACATAAAGTCAGTTTTTTCAAGAATAGATCTTAGGGAAAAAAATTGAAGATTTTTGTAAATAAAATGTATTATACAATCATATTTATTACCTAAAAAATATGACGCATCTTGACTAGCTTAACGAGGAGGATTTAGAAATTACTGCGATATTCACTTCATATAGATTTAAAATAAATTGAATGGATTTTTTCAATAAAAAATTAAAACAAAATTTTTTTTTTGTCAAAACAGAGCAAATTTTTATTAATCAAAAAAAGAAATATTATAACTACTAATAGCTAAAATAAAAATACAGTTAAAAAAACCTAAAATATAATGTAATTCACAACTTACAAAGAAAAGAAAAACAATAGAAAACCAACAAAACAAAAGCAAAACAAAATAAGGAAACTTAACCAATGCCTATTTTGTTCCACTGTGCACCACAATTAACTGAAGCAGAAATATTGTTAATCATTATATCAGTAAGCAAAAAACGAGACAAAGAATCTCTATTTGAAAACATACTGTTAATGCCACCTTCCCTATTTAAAAAAAATCTCGAGTTCAAATTCAATATTATTCATATATTTGTATGCTTGTGTATATAATTTAATTGTATATAAAGAGCATATCTTCTGACATAAAAGAATAAGATATTAAAAAATTGTAAGAAAGAAATGCGTGATGTTTCATTGTTGGGTTAGTGAAAATAAAACGACGTCGTTTATGTTCGGTTGCGCTATGGTAGGGTTTAAGCTGAGCTTAGGTCTCTCACCGTCACAGACGGACCTGACCTTTGCTGAAGCAGCAATGGCTTCTTCTTTGTGTAGATCAGCATCGAGGTTCACCTCAAGGTCCATTGTAAGTCGTTCCAAAATCCTCAGTGAAAAATTCCTCTCTCCTGTGTCTCAGCCATCTCTCCTCTCTTCGCCTTCATCATCGGCTATTCCTCGCGCTTCAAGGTACACACCGCCTCCAATTGAACTTTTAACTTGTTTCCATATTCTACTTTTATCTGCTTCTTTCCATTAGTTGTCGAAGAGAAAAATTTTTCGTTTTTGAAATTAAAGAGTGCAAAATGATAGCAAGACTGCAAGAGTGCCCTGTATTCAAGCTGCATATAATTTTGCATTTTTTGCGGTAACAATTTTCGTTTCGAATAATGGATTTTGAAGGATTTTGTCCGTAATGGGAAGCGTCGAGTCTATGATGCCCCTTCACAGTGCCATTGCGAATGCTAGACTCGTTTCCAGTATCGCCGTTGATTCCAGCTGCTGGAGTTGGCTTTCTCGAGGTACTTCTTTACTTTCTATGTGGTTCTTGCTCCTGATTTTAATGTAATTTGACTCAATGCATGATTTCTCTTTCCATTAATTCTTATGCACTTACAAACACAATCTGTTCCTTTTTATTCCAAACATTTTCAGCCCAACATACCGTTATTAGTCTTTATGTTTTTGTGGAGGGCGGGTTGGTCCCTGTTAGCTTTTACTATCTGCTAGGTATCCAGCTGTGGTATTGCTTTTTTTATATCGCGCTTAACGAGTATCCTGACATATTCTTCTTCTACTTTCTTGTATAGGACTTCATAAAACATTGTGACAGGTCTTCGTTCTTCTGGATCTATTCAAGATGAAAGAAAAAATAAAGAGACTTGTAGGTTGTCTTTTATGTGTGCCCTTAGGATGGAAAAAGAACTCCTAATTTTGGAATTCGAGCCATTGTATTGTGCAACGAATGCAGACTTGTATAGTAGATTTTCTTTTAGTAGTTGGCTAAAAGAAGATTACGTATTTGCTTCTGATACATGTCCTTTTCCTTTTTGATTCTTTTACACTTTTATATCGTCTGGATGTTCTGTCCGAGAGTGAATCTTCTTCAATACTGATTAAAACCGTTGATTTTTTGTATAAAACTCTTATAGTTTCCTTGTCTAAAGAATCAATAAGTAATGAATCTGTTATACTTTGATTAGGATTAGTGTTACGTTATGATGAAATCAAAATTATTCCTTCTCTGTCCCACTTGATGCAATTTGTGATGTTTTGTCGTTCTACAGCCTGTCCAGTGGTCTTTGGGACTGTGACAAGCATCCTATCTGGAAAAGGGTAAAAATTAGAAACATTTTAGTACTCTTTAGTTATCCATATACTAAGTGACACAGGCCCATACCATTCTGACATGAGTACTTGGGAATCCAATCGATCAAACATGACTTGTTTCCATGTGAAATTGTCACCATTATCCTGCCCCAAAGTGTTACTGAGAGACAAATGCTTCCTTGCTAGTTTAAATGAATCTGTCATTGCCGTAGTACTTTCAAGGTGTAATGGTATAACATCCAAGTCTAGCCCTTTACTTGAAGGGTTTCATCGTGGGACTGTTCTTGTGCGACTTCCATTTCCTTGACTAAAGTAGGCATGCTCTTAAGTGATTTGATTGGGTGTATCGATCAGTAAGATTTTAAATTCAAGGATGCTTTTGTGATGCGTTTTCAAGACTTTGTTTTGGCCTTGGGGACATAATCGAATATGGTCATTTGATGCTCCATGATAGTACCCTTCTGATTTTTCTGTTTAGTTAAAACTCCCTTCTGTTTATCTTCATGTTTGCTGAGGAAAACGCTTCCTTTAAGCTTAGCACCTAAGTTTTTACTCCCTTCTGGTGATTATAATACATTTATTCTATTGATATGTCTAGACTTTGCAGTTCCTCGGTGACAAAAGATTAAAGGATTGAGTCATTTCAATCTTTTAGCTGGGTTGCATCTGGGTTTTTGTTGGCTCAATCTTCGCTCTTTTATCCAAACGGCCGTCTCATAGCTCGGACTCCCCTCGTTGCCTGGAGCGCCACATGAGATTCAAATCTCTTTTTCCTCCCATTCTGTAAACCTTTTATCGGTCTCAAGGCATTTTGATATCAAGTAGAGTTTTCTTATATCTGATGGATCATTTGATGAATAGATTTCATGCACCCAAACTGTAATCAGGAGTTTGGATCGCTGACAAACCATCTGTTCTGCAAAACAACGAGGAACTCCTATTTTTCTGCAGGACTTTGTTGGGAAGTTAATATAATTTGAGAGGCGTCCGTTCATGTTGGCAATTGTATGTTGATGGCTATTAGTTTCAGTCAATTTTGTAGCGAGATTTGCTGATGAAGTTTAGCTCCTTTGAAGAAAAATGAACGCGATGATGGGTGCTATTAAGAGAAGAGAAAAGAAAAGAAAAGTCGTAATGATGTGAGGATGATGTTCTTTTGGCTCGAGAGCATTTCTTGCCATTGACAATAATAATTAATAAAGGGAATCAATTAAAATACAGTTAACCTAGAAATCTGCAATAACGTTGAAGCCTTGAAGGTGATTCCTCAATTAGCATTTACCCCCCCCCCCCTTCTCTCTTTTTTAAATTTGTTCAAATTTATGATGATATTACCCTGCCGCTACTTCGGATCCTAGTAAATTCCTTAACCACATAATTGAAAAAACAGTGCAGAATCGAATTGACATCATTCATGGCTAACCATCTCAGGTTTGTCTCACTTCTCTAATTTCGTTCAGTAAAAGTTCCATGTATTTGGATTAAGTTCAACGTGAGTTCTATTATTTTTATTTGGGACAATGTAACTTTTTATCCTTCAAATTTATTTCAATTATTAATTTTGTCTCTTAAGTTTAATTTTATCAATTTGATCCATTAAGTTTATCTCATTCGTCAATTTGATCTTTATTGTTTAGAAAAAAGGTGAGACTTAAAATTTGTTAACATAGGTAATAAAATATTGATGAAATTCATGTAAACTAATGAAAATAAATGTAATTATTTAGTTAGAAAAAAAATTGACTTTGGGATTTCAAGAAACAAGATAACAAAATACATTATAAGAGATTATATTGATAAAAATTAAACTGATTTGAGTGTTAATTATTTCTCATTTAGCTACATATATATGTTAGATATCAATGTACTTTACACATTCAATTATATTGATAATCAATTTGTATTTTAAAAATTAAAGGATTCCATTAATAATTTATGAAACATAAAAGATTAAACCAATAAAAATTAAATTTAAGGGACCAAATAAATAATAGAGCTCAATTTAAAGGAGTAAAAGTTTTATTATCCTTTTTTATTGATTGTGTATAAATAGTGTAGTTCTCCTAGGCTAAACATGATACTTGCTATTCCTTTCGTTCAAAAATGTAAGGTATTTTTTAAAGAGTTGGATGTTAAAAAAATGTAAGGTATTTTTAATTTTTTGAGATATAATTGTTGCCTTTTTTTCAAAAGTTACTCTATTGATAATGACTTTATATCTATTATAGAATGTTTAATAGGGATAAATATGAAAAGATAGGATTAGTTGAAAAGTAGGTAACTACTTTAGTGGGAGGTGAGATTCGGTTAAAAATGCAATATATTTTTAAAAAAGGGAGTACTTTTTTAGTGTTGAAAAAAAAACAAAATATCTAAAAGATTTTTTTGGTTTTTTAATTTTTCAGAATGATTTTTTTGAATTGTTATAAGATCAGCCATGTTATATGGTAATTAATGTAGGACTTTAAGAGCTTGTTTGTTCAAGATTAAAAAATAAGCAATTTTTAGGTAATTTAAAGATTTTATTAAATAGAGATTTATTTTGTACAGACTTAATAAAAAGCAAACACTATTTTATGTTGGGTTACAATAATAAAAAAGTAATTATTAGTTAGTTATTTTTAAATTTTATAATATCTTTCTTAATTTTTATTTTATAAAAAAATTTATTATTATGTTATTTTAACATTTTATAATATCTTTGTGTATCCCATTTTTTTAAATTACTCTCTCATTTATCACATTAGATTACTTTTAAACTTTACTCAAAATAACTTTTTAAAATAATAAGAAATTTGCTTTTTTTGGAATTCTAATTATTTTTAAAATTTTAAATAAATATACTAAAAATTCACAAAATAGATTTTTTTTCATGAAATAAGCTAAAACAAACAAGCATGAGGACTCCTTACTTTGTATTATAATTGACATATTTTTTGTTATATTTTGGGAGTCATGAATGAAAAAGAGAAGCATTTTCTTAATTTTGTAAAGAGAAGTTAATTAAGTGCATCATATGGATTTAATGTAATGTTTTGGTGGAAATTGTTTAAAATTATGGATATTAAAGTAAGCAAATATTTCACTCATAAATATTAATTGTTGAAAGGTGGGACATGAAAAGTTAAAGCAAGAAAGAGAAAGTAATCAAGGAAAAAGTCATCTCTGATGTTGAGGCACAAATGCAAAAATACCAATGCATTGTTAAAAATTTTATCAGAATTGCTTATTAGTGTCAAAAAATTTTGTGCAAAAATACCCTACAAAACTCTTTTTTTTTTTTTTTTGGAGTAAAGGAGCTATCTTTGAGCTATTGCAACTGGAGGCAACCTTAGGAGAGTAAGAGGAGAGGTTTTGGGGCTCGGGAACAAAGAGGAAGCAAAAGAAATATGCTTATAGTAATGATTTATCTGTTTTTCTTTATCTTCTTCTTTTATGCTGTCAAATTTTTACCTTCTATTTATTGTTATAGTGTTTATATCAGCTGTGTGTAGCTAAATCTTTTTATTCTAGAAGATATGAATCTATTTATGCAAATAACCTTTGAGTTATCATTTAATAAGTGAGAAATGAAATTTTGATTACTTGTTCTTGAGTTTTTTTGTTTTTGTTTAGTGTTTGTTACTACTAGGTGAGATTTAGGCATTTGGGTTAAATCTTAAAAGTGAAAACTCAAATTGGACCTTAAGAACTAATAGTTTATAATTAGTTTAGCTAATTTGTTATTAAAACAGGAATGTATCTAACAAACCTAAGTAATCCTCATGGGTTAAGGTCTCTAATGCAATTAATTAATTAAGGTAATATTTTGCTTTAATTGACTTAATTAGGAGATCTTAGTGATTGGAAGAAACTTTGAATTAATTTAAATTCTTGAATTATTAAAACTGGATTTCAAGATCTTGTAATGAGAGGGTTAGAAAATAAATAGAGGATTAGAATTCTAGAACGTTCTTCTTTTGATTGGCTTTAGCTTATTTATGAGTTGAAAATTATTTTAATTGATCACTTTTAATATTTTCATTTTAATTGTTCCAAAATCAATTTTAAGTTTTATTAGCTTAATGTGAATGAATTTAAAAATTTAATGTTTAATTTCTATTTTAATTAATTCTTTGAGAGATCAATCTTGATTTATTACTTGCTACAATTACAACTTGTATACTTGTGATATCTATTAGTTTTGTGGGCATTGGAGCTCTAAAGGGACGACAAAAATATAAAATTGAAGTAGAAAAGATAAAAATATTGAGGTTGACATGCATGTATATATAAAAAGATAAAACTCAAAATAAACATATAAAAAAAATGAACATGGCATCTGTTGAGGAAAATACAATAAAAATTCATTTGATATGATTTGACTTTATATATATAAGATCGTGAGAGACACCAATGAAAAAATTAAACATATAATCTTAAACCTTATAAAAAAAGTAGCAAAAAATTAAAAAAAACACTTATAAAAATTATTGAATATGGTTTCTTGTTTACCATGTTTCTAAAAATTTATTTAATAATATAACACAATAACATTGCTCAATCCATACATCCAACCTCATCTAATGGAGTAAAGTTGATTGTTGCTGGTTTTCAAAACAACTAACAGAAAACAAATTATCAAGAAGGTTTTTGATTTTTTTTTTAAATTTTTTAAAACAACAAAAATTTATTCTGAAAACAAATAAATGTCCATAAAATGAGAGTGCATAGTCAGCAATTCCATAGAAATATAAAATGAGGGTCGAAAGTCAATGCAGCTTTTAGATTAGTTTTAAATCACTGTATTTATGTAGTTGTAAAGTATGACAAAATAAATTATTAAGTGGGATTTCCAAATTTTCTAGTAATACATGCATCCTTAGATCGAAGCCAGCTCATACATTACTGAGTGTGCGGCCGTGAGATCTAGATACCAAATGAAGAGTGAGGATAAAACAAGGTCAAAGTTCTAGGACCCGCACATCACCTAGAAGATGGACACCTTCATTCTGTACTCCTTTTAACTTTATGAACATTGATATACACGTGAACGATGTTTGATCAGAAGCCAAGCAACAAAGATATCGAAAACATCTGCCTCATTTTTATCAGTGGTCTGGTTTGAAGGGTTGGGCTGCACGTCGAAACCAGGTGTTGAATGCAGTCACCAAATGAGGACAATCTTCAACATTTCGCGTTGAGAAGCTAAGGCACCGCGGCAACAGTTCTTGAGCATCTGACATGGGCAATGTGGAGATTATTCCCAAAAATGTTTCTTCCAGCTCCAGATACAATGATTTGTTTATGGGTAACATTGGTGCAACATTATCTTTGCATACAACTAGAACAGGCAGCCAATCTTCAACAAGTTTCCTTCTCACCTGAGCAGAACAACGGAGTAAACATGAACACGTCAGTTTTGTCCTCCCTAAATTATGAATTGACAAGCAAACAATATTTGCCAAGACTATAAATTTGCAGCAGAATATAGGCCAAGACTATTTTAATGGTAGAAGATTCAAAAGAATGGTCCAATAAAAAAACAAGTGAAACATATGATTTTATTTGTCACTAGAAATTTCTTTCTACCATTCCCAATGACTTCAAAAATTAAGTGATAGAAGAATTTCATACCTTCATCGGTTTCTCTACTAAATCCTAACAAAACATGAATGAAGAGACATTGCATGTAGTGCATAGATACTACTTGTAATTTCCAATACTGACAACACAGGCAGTGGAGACTCAAAGAGCAATGATATTAGGAAGTAGTAATATCAAATGAACAAAAATATAATCTTCTACTCATCTACACAAGATTAAAAATTCAATAGATGTGGTTCTACAACAACAACAACAACAACAACAAAAAAAAAACATTAACGTCGGAAAGCCGTGGATACAAATTCCTCAGAGGCTAAGGCTTGTGTGTTTGAACTATTCATTCTTTAATCTTAGAAAGATCTCTGTATTGCACGCATCAGTCTCTATCTTTTGATTTTTCACTGAAGCCCTATAAAGAACACCAACTGATTGATTCATTTGCCACCCACAGTTGCAAGCTTATTAGACATTAGCATTGACCCCAAACAACAGATTGCATTCAAAGGTAACTACATTTTAGCAATGGCAAACAAACCCATCATCTCTCTCAATTTTGCTCAAGCGAAAATGCTATAAGCTTAGGACAGAGTGTGAGAGTTTCTGAGTAAAATCTTCAAAAGTCTTCTTATATTTGAAAAATGACAAGTACATGCATGTACACGTGCACGTGATTCAATTATGAACACACATAGGAAGAAAATTAGCGGACAATTCGCTTAGCCATTAAACAAGAACAAGTATATACTTCAATACAGAGATCTAGGATCGAAAGGAAAAACAAAGATTTTTGAGATCATTAACTAAGAAAACCACAGAATGGCGCTTTAAAAAGATCAGGTCACTAAAATTGGCGACCTCCTACGGAAGTTAGTTGCTCAATCTTAAAAATGGAGCGCTTTGGCAGCATAGCCTTTAGGTACCATTGCATGAATTAATAGGTTCAGAGAGTCATGTCAAAGGCACAAAAATAAGGAATGGTCCTACATATAAATATAAACAAGTCTCTAAAAAAAAAAAAAAAACCTAGAAGCGAAGTCAATGTATCCAACGGAGTGAGGTTCTTGATTCCTGAAACTAAGCTGTGCAGTAGATTCTTAGAACAGAACATAAGAAAATTATACCGATCTAGTAGCCAAAATGGTTCCTGCAGTTACTGCATTTGCTAACTTGCAAGTGCATCGAAGCACGACGGCAGGAAGACCCGGAGCAATATTTCTCCAAGCATCATCCCGAAAAGCCCTCTGCAAATCAGCAGTGAACGATGCCTGCTCACTCCATTCTTTGACGGCCGTATCAGCCACTCTCAGCTCAATCATTCTCTCCACCAACCACAGCAGATGCTTCCCGTCCGTCATCGCTTTGTGCAAATTCAACCGCTGAATCGCCTCCGTTTCATCATGGTGCCACCTAAAATCAGGACTGGAATACTCCTCCAAGGACTCTTTCACAGTCTTCAAGCTCACGTTGAATGCCTTCTCCAAGACCCTCTTGGCTGATTCCCTCGAAGAAAAATCCCTCAAAATCTTAGCAACAAAGGCCTTGACATAAGCCATATTCTGATAATTGTGAATGGCCGAAAGTATCAATTCTTCAAGCATTACTTCACACGAATCCGCCTTTACAGGGGTAACCCTGGCAAGAAGCTCCTTTGACTCTTCTTCACTAAGAAAAGGGATCAAGTTCAAAACTCTCTTCTCTTCCTCTTCGGTCCAAGGAACTGCCTCCAGGAAAGTAACGCATGAGCGAATGCAATCTTCGAACAAAAATTCGAGGGCAACTGCGAGGAGGTCGAGAGCAGCGGATGCACTATCAATGGTATTAGCAAAATCATTAGAATAGAGCAATTCCAGCACCGTGAGATGGGACTGAATGGAACCCGGAGTAGAAGGAACACTAAGATTAAGTCTAAACAAGTTATCGGAGTCATCCGGTTTGGACTGGCCCATCCATCGGTCGGATAAGAGGGCAGAGAAGTACATCGAACGGCGGAGAATGTCAGAGTGGAGGTAGACGGAGGTGGAAGGGCAGTGATCGACGGACCGAGAATCGGAGGAAGATTCAGTTGATGAGGCGGTTTCGACAAAGAGGCGGAGGATGACGTCGGCGGTAGAAGAGTCGTTAAAGAAGATGTTGCTGCCGGCGGCATCAGTGGTGGTTGGGGCACAGCGTGGGGTTTGGGTTACTTCGGCGACGCTTTTGTCGGAGACCGACGAGTCGATGACTGCGATCGTGGACAGATGGCGGCTACCGGAGGGTTCGGTGGCGCGATGGCGCTTCTTGGGGCCGCCGAGTGTCATTTCGCCGGCGAAACAAGAGATTCAAAAACGAATTATTAAATTAAATTAAATTAAACACGGAAGAGAAATCTGCAAGGAAAATAGATCGAGTGGGAAGGTTTTCTGGGTTAACGTCGGTGTGAGATTAATGTTTGAGGAACGGATAGGGGATAGATGATCGAGAGTCGGATTCGGAGAGTAACCCAGAAGGCCAGAACGGGTTGGTTTTTTGGTGTTGGTAATTTAAAGAAGTGAAAAATTTAACACAAGTAAATTATGCATTTCTTTAATTAAATAATTAATAAATTGTTTTCAAATAAATTACACATCCTCCATCTCACTTTCGTTCAATTTAAAATAAATATCATCATAATCATCGTCAATCAAACAAGATATAATATAAAATATATCAAAGCCTGTTGATCTTGGATTCTAAATTTCTAATATAAATGAAGAATATAAAAACTGCCTAAAGTTGGAATGATTATAATTTTACTTATCTTGAGCTCCATTTAATTGCCCAGTACTCATCTTACTTCCCATAAAATGATATAAATTATATTAAAACTAATGCAAACTAGAATGAGTCACACAAATATTTGTACAAGGCTCGAATAAGTTGTGTTTTCATGGTTTGCATCCTTCCTACAATTTTTTCTTTTCAATAATTACAAAATCACGTTTCATGTTTTTAAAATAAATAATTATTGAATGAAAAGATGTTTGAGTTGGAAACCAAGTTGGCCATCCTAACAAATATGATTTATAAGTTAAACTATTTTTATTCATGCATTATACCTATTATATATATATATATATATATAAAAGAAGTGTGGAATCAAAATAAATCTCAGTCCATATTTTGGGCCAACCCAACCGATTGACACTCTCTCAATTCTATTCAACTAATTTGTAGCTACTAATAAAAAAATGGTGTAAGTGTTGGGGAATTTCATTGTTTTAAGTAAGTAATTGGAGGCTTAAGTTTAAACTCTTTTGTTCTTAATATTGTGTTTGTAATACTTTAATTATATTTATAAAGAAACCTATTTTGTAGCCCACAATGCGGCTCTTTCCATACAGTATTGTTTAAAAATATTACGTAACCCCTATTTGTTCCACTTACAAAGTGGCATGAAAAATCTAATGAGAATTAAAATTAACTTGTGATAGTAATTTGAAAAAAAGTAAATCAACATAAATTAAATTTTTAAATATTTAAAAATTAATGATAAAAACTAAAAAAGAATAAAGTTTAGTAAAAGAAATTAGTTTTTTATAACATGATAAATTAATATTTAAATTTCTATTAAAAAAGGTGTTTACATTTAATGGCTGATTATATCTTGTTTCTAATAAAAGAATACCTCTCTACAATAAAAAAGATTATGATAAAATAAGTTCCCCTTGTGACTATGTATACATTATATATATATATATATATATATATTAAATAACCATAAAATTACAACCCATGAAGCCTAATAGTCCATTGCTCGGCAAATAAGCGCCAACCATGAAACTAGTTAAGGATGTTTCATGAATTATGTTTCAAGAAACTTGATTCTTTAGTCAATGAAAATGTGAAGATTACATCAACGTTATTATCCCATTCGTAGTTGGGTGTCACTTACATTTCAACCTCCCGTTTGGTCTGTTTTGCCATCTTATTACTTTTATTCTACACATGCACTGTTAAATCTATTTTTTTTAATGTCTTCTGAAATATTAATATGTATATGAATTATATATTCAAATTTACATAAACTTATATTATTTATAAATTATAAATATTATAATTATAACTAGCTTTAAATTTTGTACATTTTGCTTAAGATGTTATATTTTTACATTGATATTGATAGATTGGGCAGATAACAAAAATTAATTACTTAATTTTATAATAAGCAATAGATAGATTATGAACATCAAGCATAAATTTTTTTTTTTTGGGGGCCAAAATCAAGCATAAAAATTTTATTATCGGCATTCTTGGTAATGTCTTCCAGTACCAAACCCGGAAAAGAACAACTCAACTCTCACTTTTGTTTTATTGATCAAAAACAAAAAACAAAAGAACACTTTGGTTTCTTTCGCTTGCACGCTCTATTTCTTTTTTGCCGCTGAAACCATGAAACCCACCGGCGCTCTTTCTTCACTTCGCTCTCTTCTTTCGGACGCCCTTTTCTCTCCAATGCTTCACTCTTCCAAACTCGGAACATCTGCTAGCCATTTTCTCATCAACCAAACACTCCTCATGCCACTTTTCTAGCTCTCTTCTCAACTAGTCTCAACCCATGTCAACATTTAGCAACTTTGCTCTGCATGAACTCACCCGCACCACCCCATTGCTGGGTTTACAACTCTACATCGTTGTTTTCGTTTTCCTCTTCATCTTCGTCGTTCTGGTGCTTCTGATCTTCCTCTGCATTCGCCGGAATCGAAGGTCCACCAATCCTAGTACTCGAGCCAGCCAGAGCTCCGGCGTAATTCCGTTGGTCTCCAAGGAGATCGTGGAGATCGAAGCCTTGGATCTTCTTGGTATTGAAGAGAAAAAGCTTAAGGTTGAAGGTCATGATCTGAGGAAGGAGGCGGAAGCCGAGGAGATCAATGTTGGATTTAGTAGAGGAAAAAAGGGCAGCGATGAGAGCGATAACGTGGACGGTCTGAAGATGGGGTGGGGCCGTTGGTACAGCTTGGCGGAGCTTAAGCTTGCGACACGTGGATTCGCCGACGAGAATGTGATCGGAGAAGGAGGTTATGGAATTGTGTACAGAGGAATTCTTCAGGATGGCTCTGTAGTTGCTGTGAAGAAGCTTCTAAACAACAAGTAGGTGAAATGTCATATTTTTTCCCCCTTACAAATTCAACTTTTTGAGATAGAACTCGAAAATTGTACGGTTCCTTGTTATCATCATAGCAGTTCAACGACTAGATTGTTAATTTTCCTTCTCCATATTTTCTTTTCTGAATCTGACAGTTAAGCCTTTAAGGTCATATATATATATATATATATATATGTTTGTGTTTCCTGAATTGTTGGCACTACATGCATGTTTGTTTGTTTGGACTTGCTGATATAAATCTACAATTTCTAGGAGAACTTTTAAATCATTGTGTTTGTCAACTTCAGATTACGAAATGGGCTCTTGTTTATGAAATTTAATTAGAAATTCTTGAGTTACCAACAGGAAAAGGAAATGAATTGACCAGTCGTGAATCTGGCATCTGCTTTGAGGGGTATAAGGAAAAGTGAAATTGGTCACTTTGTTCTTCTTTGTTTTGGCCTGCGTATAGAGTTGCTTTTCTTTTTTACTTTCAACTTTGGTTTACTTTATTATACTATTTGTAATTGCTTTATCTCAACTTTTACTTTATGCGAGATATCATCCTGAGATCTATGAAACTGATTGATTAGTCCTCTAATGGAGGAAAAAGTTTTACTTCGTCTTTATTTGAACTTCATAGACTAATAACTTCATAACTTCATATTCGTCTAAACAGCAACACGAAATGTGATAAGTTGAACCGTTTATTGACACTTGGATTATCTATTAAACATTGAAAGCCTTATAAGAATCTTTAGTGCAAAAGGATTGTTTCACATTTGGAAATGAAGTTCCTTCCTAAATAAGTGTGAATCCCTTTCCTGATAATCTTAATAGTAATCTCATGAAAAACGTTTTCATGTGCCTTAGCTCTATTGTTTGTAAATAGGGGTCAAGCTGAGAAGGAGTTTAAGGTGGAGGTTGAGGCTATTGGAAGAGTAAAGCATAAAAATTTGGTGGGTTTAATAGGATATTGTGCCGAAGGTGCTCAAAGGTATTATATATTCAGTCCACTTGTTCTTGATAAACTTTTAAGTAGACTCAGTTTACAAAAGATGGAACTAATTATTAATAGACATGCTTATTTGTTCGTTTATACTGGTTTGTCGACCATTCAGGATTCTCGTTTATGAATACGTTGAGAATGGAAACTTGGAGCAGTGGTTGCACGGTGAGGTAGGGCCTGCTAGCCCCTTAACATGGGATATACGTATGAGGATCGCCATAGGAACAGCAAAAGGGTTTGTGTTCTTCTAGGTTATTGTCTCTAGAATCTTAACAGACAAGCTGTCATGCTCCCTGATTGTTCAATTTGTGTCTGGTTTTACATTATGCAACAGGCTAGCCTATTTGCATGAAGGGTTAGAACCTAAAGTTGTGCACCGAGATGTGAAATCCAGTAACATTCTTCTGGACAAAAGATGGAATGCCAAGGTATCAGACTTTGGACTGGCCAAACTCCTAGGATCTGAGAAAAGCTATGTGTCTACACGCGTGATGGGGACATTCGGGTTGGCTTTTTCTGAAGCATCGAATTCATTTTATAACGAAAATTCTTACAGCAGCTAAGTTAGTCATGAAGAAACCTGAAAGCATGTCAGATTATGCTTATTTGAGAATGTATCATTTTTGCAGATATGTTTCACCTGAGTATGCTAGCACAGGTATGCTTAATGAAGGTAATGATGTGTATAGTTTTGGAGTTCTGCTGATGGAAATAATCACCGGAAGAAGTCCCATTGATTATTCTAGATCGCCGGCAGAGGTGATTCTAAATTTCTTTTTTCAAGTTCTTAGGAGCACTGTGGAATCCTATCTTCATTTTCATTTGATGTGCATTCAGATGAACTTGGTCGACTGGTTCAAGGGAATGGTGGCAAGCCGTCGTGGTGATGAGCTAGTAGATCCTTCAATCGAGATTAAACCCTCTCCGAGATCACTAAAGCGAGCTTTGCTGGTTTGTCTGCGCTGCATAGATATGGACGTCTGTAAGCGGCCAAAGATGAGTCAAATTGTTCATATGCTAGAGGCAGATGATTTCCCCTTTCGTTCCGTAAGCACCATGCAATTTCATTCTGGATGAGGTTTCATTACAATGAACAAGGTGTAAAATCTAATTAACATACTAGATATGGATCTAGTGTATGTGATAAGAAACCAAACAAATACATAAGTTAGAGTTGCACACCCGATTCAACCATAGTCACTAAGTTACATTGAGCTAGTTAACCTAGGTCTTCCTCTCTATACCGTTCTAAAGTTATGCTTTGGTGGGGAAGCACACAAAGTTAAGGTTAGAGAGGGGATCTAGCCTTTTTAATAATCCTCCACCCACTACAGACCTTGGTAAGGTTAATGTCCCACACTTTAGCCACTAACCAGACTTAATAGATTGTGTGTCAGGCCCATTAAGTATATGATCACATAACATAGTTGGGTTTTAATATTCTAGGGATCACCGGTTAACCCTTATCAAATCAGTAAGTAATTAATACGAGCCCACACATAAATTTCCAACATAAGGTTCATTTTTTTGAAGAGAAGTGTTTAGTAGAACAGAGTGAATTAATATTTCACCTATTGGAGAGCTTAAATAGTTAATTAGCTTTTTGACTTGTTTCATAGGAACTTCGGACAGCTAGAGGGAAAGATCCTGTGGCTTCTCCTACAGCTATTTGCAGCAAACTTTCATATCCACCAAAGCATGTGGAGTCAGTTGAGAGAACAAGATGGCGATGATTGCTTGTAACGTAGCTGATATGGAGATTCTGAACATCTAAATTTCATAGCCTGCTTTAGAACTCTAAACACCAATATTTTATGTCTGTCACTGTATGATGATCATGTGAAGACTTACTAGTCTTGTACAAATGTACCTCCCATGCCATATAACTTGGATTCCCTGGAACGATTTTAGATAAATTGATGAGAGAGATAACCATATAACGGTGGGCCTCATTTTTTTCAAACTTGGGTTCTTCTGTGTTTATCTCTTCCATTACTTTATTTGAAAACTACTGAGGGATCCAATTACAATATATATCCGTTTGCATTTCTAGAAGTTACAGACATAACTCCTTGTTGTATTGCATTGGTTAATTGATGAAGATAGTGTTAAGTATCTCGTTTAATTATATTGGACACCAACGTCGTTCATTTTTCTTCATGTATTATATAGGATACACATAATTTATTCACTTATAAAATATACTCTTCCGCCTTTATTTATAGGATAAAATTTTGGAGGTTTATTTGTTTCTATTTGTAAGATAAATTGTAAAATTTGGGGAGTATGAAATAATTTTACCAAACAATTTTTTTGCTCAATATGCTTTTATTGAATGTATGAAATAATCTGCTGTAAATGCTACATTCCCCAGTAAACTTTACCAAATAAGGTAGGCATTAAATAAGAGCAGCACTAAAAAATGAAAGTAGGTTTACGATATGAATTAGTTTAGTTAGTTTAATTGGTAGTTAAAAATTAAGTGATTTTTTCCTGTAAATAAAAAAACATGATTAATACTAATACTAATGTTACATGTTCACCATGTCTGTATCATATGTAACCTTAATAATTAGAAAAATTTTAAAAAATATATGAACTCTACAGATTAATAAATAAATCATTAAAATTATGGCATAATAAATGATTTTTTTTACATATATTATATATTTATAATTTACAAAAAAAATTAAATCTATTTAAAAAATTAAGAATGCTTGGATACACGAGAGCCAAAATTCAATCACAAAGTGACACGTGCATATCCAATCCGCGGCATCCCGCTTGCAAAGGGAGTTGAGAACTTGGAAGCGCCAAATCCAACCGCTTTTTAATATTCATCCTCGGGCGACGTCGATTCGTCCAAATTATCAATTATTAGTTATTCTCAAAAAAGGTCACGCCTTAACGGTCCGGCCTCGCACCAGATTCAATACCAGATTCAATTTCATTCTCATTTCACCGGTGAGACAGGGTCGCTCTGAATCATGGAGGAGAAGCTCGTTGGGAGGTTGGAATCTGCTGTGACGCGCTTAGAGTCTTTATTATCATCCGGATTCGCCTCCGGTGGTTTACCGAGAGATGCTGGAAACGCGGCTCTTTCTGGCGATGATGCTGCAGCGGATCCGTCAATTGTTGCATTCGGTGATCTATTGAGTCAATATGTTGGCGCTTTAATAACTGCTTCGGAGAAGATCGGTGGTCAAGCCTTGGACATTACAGTGATTATGCAGGAGGCTTTTTTGGTTCAGAAAGAACTTTTGATCAAGGTCAAGAGCACTCAGGTTAGTGCTTCCAGGACATTTCTATTCCTATTTTTTTTCCCTCAATGGATTTATTCTTCCGTAGAATGCATTGCTATATCTTCATCTTCTCCGGGTCCGCTGAGAAAATGTTAATCAGAATTTGTTGATTTTGGCGTGTCGTTACATTAACGGATTGAACATGTTATTTGATCAACGTGCAAGGTTTATTGCATCGTTAATGACAAAATATTAGTCCGTGCTAAGTACTTTGGTGGTAGGAGGTGTGTGATTGTTATTTTCTGTGTCAATAGCTTGGCAGCAAGCACAACTGATAGTAATGACGAGCTTGGTCGGTTGGAATTTCTATGTGGACCCAAATGTATGTGTTTATATGATTTTGCGATAGAACAATGAATCATGTAACTTTTCTGCATATTGGAGATGTCATTCCTGTGGGACAAAAGAGCTGTCACGTGACTTTCGTGATCTTTTGATATCATAACTTTGGCAAGTTCAATTGATAGTCAAGGCCAAGAAGAATAATGATAATAGAGGGTGAAGTTAGTTGTTGAAACTTGAAAGTAATCAGGGTAGAGTATTGTAGAGTGATCTTCTGTATATTTGAGGTAGCCTCTGATTAAATGATAATGTTTTCAGGTAGGATTTTGTGAAAAATAATTCCAAGACGTCTTATGAATTATGATCGACAGAAAAATGAATATATTGAAATCATAGTTCGTGCTGTGAGTATATATATACTTGCAGTCTAACCTTTTAATTTCTCAGAAACCAGACCCTGCTGGGTTGGCTGAATTTCTGAAACCACTGAATGGAGTTATCTCAAAGGCTGCTGCATTGACAGAAGGAAAGAGATCAGATTTTTTTAACCATTTGAAGGCTGCTGTTGACAGTCTCTCAGCCCTAGCATGGATTGCATATACTGGAAAGGGTTGTGGTTAGTGACGCCTCATTCTTTTCTACATTGAGTTATTATTTGCTTTTCAGAAAAAATAAACATTGAGTTATTATTTTCCTCTTTATTATTATTATTTGTTATTTCAAGGTATGAGCATGCCCATTGCACACGTGGAGGAAAGTTGGCAAATGGCTGAGTTTTATAGCAACAAGGTACTCTTTATTCATTCCAGAGGCCTGGTGATTTATGTTGGGTGAAATACCAGTCCTCTCCTTTTATACTGAGGGGAAAGGATTGAGGAGTTCTTTTAAGTGAAATAGGTTTTGTTCTTGATAATTCTAATGACTTTGGCCTTATTTTCTATTGAAAACCAATATATGCATGCTTATTTACATGTAGAGTGAAAAATTTGCATTAGCATAATGGCTGAGAAGGCAAACAAATATGGATCAGCTGGCTCAGTATTTAGCTGCATAGACAAATTAATAGGGATTCAAATTCTGTAATTCCACTTACTTTTGGTAACATGTGAGTTACAGAACAAAGTAAAATGATTTTGCTTCAACTTCCTAGACTTTACCTGGTGCTGTAGTTCTACATGTTGCTATTTCATAAGTCGGGAATATCTAATCCTGTTTTATTGTAATCAGGTTCTTGTAGAGTATAGAAACAAAGATTCGAATCATGTTGAGTGGATCAAAGCTCTTAAAGAGCTATATCTTCCTGGTTTAAGGGATTACGTGAAGACTTATTATCCTTTAGGCCCAGTTTGGAGTCGTACAGGACAAAGGATTGCTCCATCAAAAGCTCCTCCACCTTGTGCACCTGCTCCCCCAAATCCTCCTTCTGCTTCTCTCTTCAGTTCTGAATCTTCTCAGGCTTCATCCTCTAAGCCAAGAGATGGGATGTCTGCTGTTTTTCAACAAATAAGCTCTGGGAATGTCACTGGGGGTAGGTTATTCTCTTTCTAATTCCTGAATACATATTATGGCATAAAAACCAGAAACTTTTTTTAATAGGTCTAAGAAAGGTAACGGATGATATGAAGACAAAGAATCGCACACATGGAACTGGAATTGTTGGCAATTGCGCTAGTGAAAAAGAAAGTCGTCCAGTTTCTAATGCAACTGCTAAAGCAGGACCTCCAAAGTTTGAACTTCAAATGGGTCGCAAGTAGGTTTTTTTTAGTGCGCGCGCGCGGGCGTTTGGATTTTTGTCTGTGTCATGATTTCTGTTGTCTAAGCCAACCATTGTCTGCGGCCGTAGGTGGGTTGTTGAAAATCAAATTGGAAATAAAGACCTGGTGATTGGTGATTGTGATGCCAAACAATCTGTTTACATTTATGGATGCAAAAATTCTGTTTTGCAGATCCAAGGTAATAATGACCTTTTTACAAGCTTCTTTCCCTCCCCGGTTGGGGAGTTTGGAATATAGAAATATGATCTGTGGATTCTAAACTTATCACTTGGTAGAAAGTCTGCAAGTGACTTGATGACTTCTGAACAATTTGCAGGGAAGATCAACAATATAACTGTTGATAAATGCACAAAGATGGGAGTTCTATTTAAGGTTAGTGCGGAGTATGAGAAAACGAGATTTGATAATAGAAGTTGTTAGAATCAATTCATATTGGGGAAAACGAAAGCTCATTTTTCTGTTTTCAAAATGTAGGATGTGGTTGCAGCTTGTGAGATGGTAAATTGTAATGGGATTGAGGTTCAGTGTCAGGTACCTCTACTCCCTCTTTATCTTCTTTTTCCTTTCCATATCTTGCATTTATTTTTGGTACATCATGCTGTAGATGACATTACTGTGCCTAATACTATGACAGTGTGATCTTAGTATCGATAACGATACAGCTTTTTAGATACAGAGGAGCACATGATCCTCAATGAATAAAGACTTGGCGCATCCAATATGCCTTTAATTGTAATTGCGCTTGCTTTCACTTGTATAGGGTTCGGCTCCAACAATTTCGGTGGACAACACTTCTGGCTGCCAGCTTTATCTGAGCAAAGATTCTTTAGAAGTATCCATATCTACAGCCAAGTCAAGTGAGATCAATGTGTTGGTACCTGGTGCCGCATGTGATGGTGATTGGGTATGTTTTTTACTTTGCTGTTTAATATTCTGATGATTTATTTTGTTGAACCTTAAGCGAGGTTAAAAAGAAAAAACTTGAAATTTTTGAATTTAAGTTTGATGATTTTATATTTTAAAGCATGACAAGCCCTGTCTTCCTAAAATTGTTGAACTGTTTACTTAAAAGAAGATAAGATATTACAAGGGGAACCAGGCATGCCAAGGGATATGAATTACCAATTCCGTTGCAGGTGGAGCATGCTTTGCCCCAACAGTACTTCCATGTGTTCAAGGAAGACCATTTTGTAACTACTCCAGCTTCCCACTCTGGAGCTTAGATACATTAATTGGCACTTTGGAGTTCCATGGATCGCTGGCTGTCTGGTTTCAATTTTGTTTCTTTAATTCATTCGCAATCATATGAGCAGCTGTTATATATTCACGTCCAAGACTTTTTTGGACGTCCAGGTGATGTATGTGTGTCAAAAGTGTGTGTGTCGAAGTCTCACATTGACTAAAAGAAAAACTCTCCTAGTGTATATATACTAAGGAATGAAGTGGACTAATAAAATGAGTTTGGAGGAGAAATGGTTTCGCGCACATGAGATAAGTTAATACAGGGCAATCGCAGTTGAAATCAACCGATTCATCCCTCCTGGCATGAGTTCAAGAGGCACTAGGTTTTTTTTACTGAGTTATTTTTACAAAAAATAATTACCTCTTCCTCTTGTGTTCGTTTGTGGGGAACTGCCGGCACACCAGAATAATTCTTAAGAACAGTGTCCTGGACTCAAGCAGCTTGTAGTTCGCGTCTCCTGCTGATACCGCCAACACCAAGTAGACCTCGAGCATCTAGGAAACACATCCTTTGAATTTCATTTCTGCTGAAGTTTTGTAAAGTTCTTTTTTTTATGTTTTCTAAAAATAAATATAATAGAAAAAAAATAAGGACAAAGACTAATACCAAAATATATCAGAAGTATATGGATCAATAGTCATATTTTTTCAACTATAAATAACTTCCTTGATTTTGGGTTAACTACACAGAAAATAAAATTTAAGTAAACATATTGTCAGTGATGTATATCATGTTCCATGAGTGAATTAGTAGAACAATTATAACAAATAATTGAAAAAAAATAATTACATAATTTAAGAAAGCTCGTAATCAAGGGTAGAGACAGGGGAATCAGCAGGGCCAAGCCCCCTAATTTCTTAATTTTTTTTTTAGTAAAATGTAGGGGTCATAAGTTAGCACATTATAGAAATCTTGAAATATTAGATTGAATTCTCATTTCAATTCTTTAGTAGTTTTTTACGAATGTACAATCCAACTTTTGCAGTAGTTTGATATAGTTATTATATGATCTACTTATTTTTAACAAAATAATGTTACAATTGCTCTTAAAACATTAATATCATTTAATTTTGTTTTTATTTTATATTTAATAAAAAAAATTATGAGAATTATTACAAACAAACTGTATAAAGTATTGTAACAAAAATCTTAAAACATATTTAATAGAGAACATATCAATTGAAAGAATTAAATAGCAAATTCAATAAGCAAGTAATAGAGTTTTTTATATTGAAATGAACTTTAGATTCTAAATATGCATTTAAATTATTCAATGCTTATGGGGAAGATAAAATCTTTGCCAATTTAATGGTAGTTTATAGTGAGAAGAAATTTTCAAAAAGTTTATTGTAAACATGATAATTAATTATTCTTATGCCATCAAAAATTAATAAGCAAACTTAAAGAATAAAGATATATATATATATATGTTTATTTATATGTGTGTGTAAAATTAAATATAAATATATATAGGTTGAAATATCTATATTATGCTAGTGATATATATATATATATATATATATAAATATTTAATTTTTTTTATTATCATATACTCCCTTAGTCCTTATATATGAAAAGTATTTTAAAATCTTTTTTGTCCCTAAATATAAAAGGTTGGTAGTATTTTTTTAGTAAATAGACCATTATACCTTTATTAAATTGAAAAGAGGAAAAGATAAGCAATCTCATTAATTTACTTTAGAAAAAGAGATTCATTTTTTATTTATAATAATTAGAGACAAAATTAAAATGTTGTTATATTTTTAATTAGATAATCAACTTTATTAATTTATGTGATTCAATTAAAATATATATAAGGACGGAGCGTGTATGCTTTGTTATTTTGGCCCTCCTTAACAAAATTTTCTGACTCTACCCATGCTCATAATCGTTATAAATCATACGTGCATAAACAATGGGAGTTATTTCTCAAATTTGGCATATAATGCATAATAATAGCTCACATACAGGGTAGCCTAAAGTTTAAAACAGACCACAACATTCATAATTCATGACAAATTTTTTTTACCAGTTTGAGATCTGGTATGATGCATGATGGGAATAAGAGCATGGGTATTATTATTGTAATAATAATTAATAATTAATATTGGCATGTTTTGGATTGGTAATATTAGTGAAGTGTGTGTGCAAGTGCGTGCGTGCGCGTGCGTGTTAAGAATGGAGACAAGAGTTTGATGATGGTGCAGGCAAATGCTGGAGAAAACGGAGCTACGGGTCACTTGGTTATGTTGAAACGCCCTTTTGTCTTCAATTCCTTGTTCTCCCGCTTCCTTGCTTCCCTTCCAGCCTCTTCCTCCCCTCATTAACCGTCAGATAACAAGTGAGGTTGAAGCTGTGATCTCCTCATATATATATATATATATATATATATATATAAACCTTGTATGCCACTGGCATATAAAGTTATTGGCCATTTCATTATTTCTTAGACATGACTTGTTTGTTTTCTTAACCTTTGTTTTTTTTTTTTTCCTGATTGCTATATATAGTAAGAACTTTTTACAACAGATAATAAACGCATATCACTAGTTTATAACACTTAATTGGTAAGTGAGTGTATGTTTGCGTTATTTTTTTTTTTTTGGGTGGGATTGTGCACGTGTCCTTTTTTTGAGTAACGTGTGATAATGTATCTTCGCTCTGTGTGACCGTCACATGCGTTTTCTTTAATTTTTATACCTGTGTAAGACCAAGCACTTGGGTCATTTATGTGCCGTTACCAAAGCAAAAATAATCAATAAAATTAATAAAAGTTAGTTTAATTGATAAATATTTGGTTTATAAGTTACAAAGTTATGGATTCAAATCTTATTATAACACTGTTGATATAAAGACTTTGTTATTGGATGATTTATAAGTACAGTTATAAACGTTCTTTGAACTTAAAAACATGTCTTGATTTTGGTAAGTTTCAGAAAACTAACTCACCTCAACTTTTTTTATTTTTTGATAAAAAAAATCAGTAAGGAGCAAAATTAATGCAGGTTTAATAGACTAATACTAGTGTTAATAATTATTAAGAATATAATTGGGTAAATGAAATTTAAAGACCTAAAATTTTGGAAATTTTAAATAAGACCAAGGTTATCTGAAATTATAATTACTCTGAATTATGTTTTCCATACTCCGTGTGTGCTGGCTTTCAGCGTTACCTCCTTAATCCGTCATTCTTAAAATAGTCACGTCAACTAATAAGGCCCATTTTAACGAGTGCCAGAAAACTATGGACCTGCACCATAAGAATAAGATTATCCGAAAGCCCAAATCTGTCATTGTTGGCCCAAAGTTACAAGGAACTACAAAGAAAGCTGTCTTTGCTAGTCTCTCTCCTCCAACGGTCAGATAACTAGCCGTTGAGAAACTCAACGCCTCTAGACAAAATACCCAGCGTGGTGTCGTAGCTTACATTTGCTTTCGTCCTGAGACAAAACTCTCTTTCGCATGGAATCTCAATCATTTTTCCTTCTGCTTCTTCTTCATTTTCTCTCTCCTCCCTGTAAAACCACCTCTCTATCTTCTGCGTCTTCTCTGGTTCGTGCCACAGATATACCCTTCCGCTCTGAACGCTCGCATTGGACACTGCAGAATCGTCGCTCCAGCTTATGGATAGCTCCCTTGCAGACAGAATGTCAGATTTCTTACCAGACGACCTGTCCAGCCTTATGGATAAGCTCATAGGCATTGGTACGTTCTTCTTGCTGTTTTGGTTGTATCTCAACCTTATATATTCCGCTAGTTTCAATTTTGTGGCAACTAATTCTGAATTGCAATGCTTTAACTATTCTCATTTTGTCTTCTCTTATAATTTCAAAAGTGAAATCATGGTGCCTTGCGAATTTCTTAATTAATATGGCCTTGAAGGAATTAGGATATTTAATAAATGTTATTCTAGAACAGCCAAATTTGCTATATCTTATTTGTAACTGCGTTATATAAGCTCTCTTACGCATGTGTATGTCTTTGTTCTGCTGCTCTTTTGTAATTTGTTGTTTTGCTTGCTTATTCCCTGATGATTGTTTTTAAGAGAAGTTTTCAATGTTACACATCAAACTATATTTCATGTGAGCATAAAACATGGTTATTAGTTTTTTTAATTATAAGATCCAGATGATGACTCGCGAGCTTCTTGGCACAGCTTCCACTCTTATATTTCTTCTGAGGTAATCTGATACACAAGACAATGAATATCAATTTGACTAATGAATATAGAAAATGTTTATCTGTATTGGCAGGAATTAGAATTAGTATTAGCTCTGGACCAGATTTCCTTCTTTATGTGGCTTCGCAGCTTTGATTTCCATGGGATGTTGGATCACTCTGTTTCAGTCATGTTTCATGTTATGCAAAGAGGTCATCATCATGTATTTTTACTACCTCATTATGGTTTTTTTGTTATCTACAAAATCAGAAATCCACACTCGCCCAGAAAAAAGAAAGAAATAATTTAATATGGTCATACAGAAAAGGTTTGGAAGAGCCATTTCTTTTAAACGTCCAACTCAATGAAGGTACACCCCCGGGTGGAAGTTCATCCTCAAAAATAATTGAATAAGTACAACCTACTATCATAGCTTATGTTGTTGCTTTCTGTAATGAGATGTCTTGGTATCTTTCTTTCAAGGGACTCAGAACTTTGCATGTCAGCTTTTGCTGCTTTATGCCAAGAAATATTAGAAGGGGAAAGAAATTCATTTAATATTTAGATCTCTATAAGCACAACTTGTACTTATTTGATTTTAGCTGTCACTTGCTGACAATGTATGGAATAAACTTATCTCTCAATGAAGCCTTTTTATGCTTTATCTTTTTTTCTTGAACTAGAGGATGAGTGGTGAAAATTTTTCAAATGTGCCTGTGCACATGCTTGCCAGATATTGTGTAATACATTTTAATGTTGTGCCTCTGTTTTGAACTTAGATGGAAATGTAAATACTTTTGAAACAATAATTTTATCTGGGGAAAATCTTGTGCTCAAAATTATGTAAATAGTTCTTGTTCATGTGTGCCCAATCTTGCTATAAATGGGTCGGCGTATCCAGACTTTCAAGCATGGTTTCATTCATGTTCATAATTAAATGTTCATGGTATTACAGACTTTGTAAACATGATATTTTGCTCATTTTAACAGGTTAATGATATTGTTGGGACATTAGCTCTTGGACATTATCATGGTGTAGATACTGTTGCTGCAATTATAATTTTGGCACTGGTAACTTTCCTTCTTTTCTTGGTAAGACGCTGAGAGCCCCCATCCAAATTCTCATGTTAGAATTTTGCTTCTTTATTGCCTTGTTTTGCGATATGACATGACAAATTTGAAATTCTGGATTCTGGACTTTGGTGCAGGGCTTTAAGAAAATGATGTCAGGATTGCTGGAGTCAAATGGATTCGGATCATGTACGATATATCGCTAAAGTAGATAATCATCACCATTTGTTTTATCTAATGATTAAAAAAAAGAAGGATGTATAAAAAGACTTTTCATTCACAAAACATATAATCATATTTTATATTTTTAATAAAATTATTTTTATCACTAATATGAATAATTTATATTTAATTTATATCATCCAAATTTAATTTTAAAATGTAATGTAGACATTCAAATTGAATATTATTTTTTAAAAATTTTTAAAAAATTAATTATATAGTCTTGAAATTTCAGATAAAATGATAAAATTTTATAATTTTTTATTTGATAAATATAATATGAAAAATAAAGATAATCTTTTGGAATTGTCTAAAAATATTTTTTAAAAAAATTACAAGTTAAAAATTTAAATTTTGAACCATTCAGTGTATATTTAGATAATTAATTTATAAAAATTATTAAAATTTTAATATTAAATTTAAACAATATAAATTAAATATAAATTGTCCATATTAGTGAAACAACTTTATTAAAAATATAAAATATGATTGTGTGCTTTGCGAATGAGAAGTCTTTTTATTCACCTCTCTTTTTAGCTATTAGATACAATGAACGGTGATAATTATCTACTTCCCAACCACTACACAAAGTGATAATGCACATGATTTGAATCCAGAGTCAAATGTGTTTGGACCAATTTTTGTAAAGCTTTTCAGGCCCTTCATTTCAAGTACAGGTACTTAGTCTGTACCGGTCTCGCTTGACCCAATATTATCTTGATCTCATTGAGATGGGTCTCATCCTGATTTAAAAACAATCGAGACGGGATTTGATGGGATGAAACAAGAAAGGAATTCGGGATGAGATGGGACACGGGTCTTGAATATTATATGTATATATATATATATTATTTTTTATATTAATTATATTAATATAATTTATACTTGTATTAATTATATCAATTATAATTTCAATATGTGCAATTTTTATTTAAAATTAAATTTTTTATATTGATAATTTTAATGACATAGAGTAAACAGGCTGAGATCTTTTTTTATCATATATTAATTATATTAATACAATTTATTTTTATTTATATCTATTTAATAAATTTTATTTATATCGTATTTATTGCTTTATTTTTGAAAAAGTAATCAGCTTAGCATATCTCAACTGAAGTAGAAAAATAATGATTTGATGTTATGTTTGGCTTGCTTGTTGTTGCTACTCTGATAACCTAGAGATAACTTATGATTAATGTAATTCAATAATTTATTTTAAATTATTGTGATTTATGTACTTGTATTGTTTTAATTTTAAACTTTATATATTATATGATAAAATTTTAATAAATGTTACTATTTAAATTTTTTTGACATTATCCGATTTATTGAGACGGTGGGGCATCCCAATCTCGTCCCAATTCCTAACGGGATGGGATAAAAATTCAGTTTCAATCTTTTTTCGGGATACAACACTCCTGTTCTGTCCAGTAAACACTCTTAATTTCAAGGTTTGTACTATTATTGTTTGGTGTGTGGCTAGAAAGATTGTAACATCTCAATTTAAATTTTAATAGCTAATTTGGGTCAATAAAAATTTTAAAAAATATTTAGAGGTAAGCAAATTAGTAGGAGATGATTGTTAAATCTAATTAGGATATAATTCTAAATTAAAATTTAAAAAATTAATTAATTAATTAATTAAAAAATATTAAATTATTATTATTATTATTAAAAAAAAGAAAATGTATAAAAAGAAGAAGAAGAAGAAGAAATGGTGCTTTCGGCGCCTCCCACGGCAATCATGACATATATATATTATAATAAAAAAAGGAAAAAAACAGAAGAGAGAGGAAAGAGGAAACTGTGAACACTGTATTTTGTCCGGTATTTTTTTAATTTAATAATGAATAATCAAAAATATAAAAAAAATAAAATTTAATCCTTTTTCAAGATTATATTTTCAAAAATAAAAATTTTGTTTAAATCTTTTAAAATCTCTCCCAAATTATCCTAATCATTCAAAAATATTAGGAGTCAATTTTTAAAGGTTAAATTTTCTCTTCTTAAATCTTATTATTTTTCATTTTTTTAAAAATATATATTACAAAATTAGATTTTTTTCTCTCTCCTCTAATCTGAAAAAAAAGGGGGACAAAAGAGGCATAAAAGAAAGAGAGGGAGAAATGGGGCGGGTGAAAATCTTCACCCAGCCCAAATTTGCTTTCAGCTGCTAGCAGAGAAAGGAAAAGCAGTGGGAAAAGTTTACCCGGCGCATCAGAAGGAAGAAAGAACATGAAAGTAGAACACAGCCAGACGCAGACATGCACGCACATATACTTTTGGCCATACAACAGAAACAGCAGAAACAGGGACACGAAACACCAGCAAAGCAGCATGCGTAGCAGGAAAAAAATAGAGCAAAAAAAACATAGTCAGGCACGCTGAAGAAGCACACACACAGAGATAGAAACAGAAGAAGCAGAGGCGTGCGCTGAAAAAACTGAAACACACAGAAAGGTAGCCATGCACTCACGTACACAAAATAGCAGAGAAAGCAGACGTTACAGCAAGGAAAAAGTGAGATGAAACAGAGCAGAAAAGCTTCACAGAGAGAACACGCGAACATGCAGCATAAAAAGAGAGAGACGCAGAGCAAACAAGGACAGCCCCAAAACTTCGGCCACATAGCAGAAAAAGAGAGCCAGAGATGCAAGAAGGAGAAGACGCTGAGAGGAAGAGCAAGAAAAGAAGAAAGAGAGAACCAGAAGCAATAAACGGAGCGAGTCTGAGAGAGGAGGAAAAGGAAAGAGGACAGAAGAAAAAACAGAGCACCAAGACGTGACCGCAGATGCAAAAAACCAGACGGAGAAAAAGAAAAAAACTGGAGCACAGAGAGCACGAGAAACAGGAAGGAGACTGAAAAAAAGAGAGAGCTGGAGATGTACACATGAGATGACAGTAGAAAAGGAGAGAGGAGAAAAACTGAAGGAAAAACAGAGCATGGGAGGCGAGAATGAACGAGAATGAGGCGGAGGCAGAAACTAAAGAGAAAATACCAGCGAAGAAGAAGTAGAACAAAGAAAATGCAGAAAACCAGACGAAAGACCGAAATTGGAGGAGGAAGAGAGTACGAGGCACAGAAGGAAAACTGAAAAAAATAGAGCATAAAGGAGACCGAGGAAGAGAAGAGAGGTACTGAGAAAGAGAGCCAAAAACGAGATCGAGAGAAAGAAGAGACTGAGATCAGAGGGAGAGAACTTTGAAAGAGTCTTCTGGCGGACACCCATAAGAGCTGTTAGGTGATTGGTCCATTGACTGGGAGATGTAGAAGGGAAGAGACCGAGAGAATGGGAAAGAGATTGAGGGGGGCTGGATAATCCGAAGAGATTTAGGAGAGCTTAGAGAGAGAGATTGTGAAATATTTCTGGGATAGAACATGAGAGAACCAGAGAGGGCATCAAAGAATTTTGTGAAACTATTTCTCTGGGTCTGCCTCTCCTCTTCCTGATAAGCACCTGGTAACGTGTTTTCTATCTTTACTTATGATTCTAGAATTATCCTATTTTATTTTATGCCTTGTCAAGCTATGTGGGTTATGATTAATGTTCACAAATTGAAAAATGGAAACATTAAAGTGACTAGTTGCCTTATGTGTGATCCACCTTGCTTCCCTTTAAGTTTATGTGATTGTTGTTTTAAAGGAAGAATGTTGCTGCTTCATTTATTTATTTTTCTTCCTTTTGAATATCTTTGAAACATTAAGCCAAATATCTAAGATTATGTGGCCAAAATAAAAAAAAAGAGCCTGTGAAAATATTGATAATTTGTGAGGTTGATTGGGGTTTGGAGCCATATCTGTCATGGTTATGATCTTGCTAAAAGTTTATGCCAAATCTAATTTTTTTTTAGAATATATCCTCAAGTCAAAAGAATAACAAATTATCAAATTAATTATTCTTTCCATTGCCTTTATTGCATAAATTGTTTAGCCAACTATAATATTATGCACCGATTGCAAATACAAATATTTTGGTTATCTATTTGTCGTGTGAGATTTTAAGAATCTCTGTAGGCATTAGAATGATTTTATACCGTGTAAATCAATAAGATTTCACAGGCATAAGGATCAATCTTATAATAAATATTTAAGTCTCATGTGAGATTTTAAGAATCTTCGTAGAGACTTAAATTAATCACATTATCATGTGGGATAATATATCCCCGTAGATATCGTGATTCTCAATTTGTATATATTACATAAACAAATTTTTGTAAATAAAATAATAAATGTTTTTATGATTTTAATTAATTAAATTAATAAATTTGAATTATAATCACATTTTCTAATTAGATCTTTTGGTCATGTGAGGTTTTTGAAACTCTGTAGACCTTTAAGATAATCGTACTACCGTGTAAGTCAATAAGACTTCGCAGGTATAACGATTAAGATTTCTATAATAAAAAAAATATATATATGTGTTATATAATTACACATTAAAATATATTCAAAGTGAATATTATTTAATCATTTTATCGTGTGAGACTTTGAATCTCTACAGATATTCAGGATAATCTCGTATCGTGCAAATCAATGAGGTTTCACAGATACGAGAGTAAAACTTATATGTTAATATGGGTTCTAAAGGCCCACCATTAAATTAACTCTCCTTTTATAATTCAAATTAATAATTTATTTAAGTTTCATGTGATGTTTCAAGAATCTCCGTAGAGACTTGAATTAATCACCTCATCGTGGGGATAATAAGTCCCTGCAGATGTAGTGATTATCAATTTCTATAATAAATAAATAATTTTTGTAAATAATCATATAATACACAATTTAGAAAAATTAATTAACCAAATTAATATGTTTAAATGGTAATCATATTTATCAATTATATCTTTTAGTCATGAGAGATTTTTGAATCTCTGTAGACTTATAAGATAATCGTATTATCGTATAAGTCGATAAGACTCTGCAGATATAACGATTAAGTTTTTAAAATACGTATAAATTATATATTAATATAATCACATTAAAAATTTAAATAAATTTAATTCCTTTATCGAGTGAGATCTTGTAATCTCCGCAGATATTTAGGATAATCATATTACCGTATAAGTTAATAAGGCTTTGCAGGTATGATGATTAAGAACCTTTAAAATATGTATATACACACTTAAAATATATTTTTTTTAACACTTAAAATA